CCTGCCCCCCACACCCTCCTCACACACACCCTCACACACACCTTGTGGGAAGACAATGAAGGCCATTAGTAAGCTGACTGTGAGACCTTGGGAGCCTGGTCAGCTCCTCGGGCAAGAAGTGTTTTGATCCCTCCAGGCCCATCCCCCTCCTTCTGCATGCTCTATTTTTCTGTTTTCTGACTCTATAAAACCTTGTGTTGGGAAAGTCTAGGACAGGTGGTGGTGAGATAATAGCACTAGCCGGCGGCCCCCCCTGGAGTGGCCTGTCTGTAGGCCGGAAGTGACTTAGTGATTCAACTTCACTGGTATCAGCGCCATTGGTATGCGTATAAGTCCTAATAAACTCATGTCTTTCATAGCCAGTCCTCTGGATTATTTCTTTGGGAATCCAAGAACAATATGCAGAGGTTTTCTGAGATCTCAGCACTTTGCATAACACCAAAGAGAAGGTAGTGATACTTGGAATGGAATATGACTGAGCAAACTGGATACATCTCCCAGACATTGTGAATGAAAGAAACCAGACGGAAGAGCACATAATGCACACGAAGTTCTACAGAGAAAGAAATCAGAATAGAGGTTACCGTTGAAGGAGGCAGGTGGTGACTTGGAAGGGACATGGAGGACTCTGTGGGGTGGTGGAAGGGTTCTCTTTCTTGATCTGGGTGATGGTTATAACCATTAGGTATGTACATACATAAAAACAGATTGAGCTGTACACTTAAGATTTGTATACTTTAAGTACTTTATTATGTCTGTTCTACCTCAATAAAAAGAAAACAAAAGAGGATACAAATACAAAAAGATCATAAACTGCCTTAAAGAAGTAGTTCTTTAAGACCTGTTACCTTACTACAATAAAGTAACTACTTTTCCCGTGTTAAGGGGTCATGTTATCTCTTGTAGTCTTCCCAGTAACTTTATGAAGTTTTTTTTTAAAAAAGATATACTTTCAGAGGAAGGGAGAGGGAGAGAGAGACAGAAACATCAATGATGAGAAAGAATCATTGATCAGCTGCCTCTTGTATGCCCCACACTGGGCTCAAGCCCACAACCCGGGCATATGCCCTGACCAGGAATTGAACTGTGACCTTCTGGTTCATAGGTTGACGCTCAACTACTGAGCCATGTGGGGTGGGGTGGGGGTGGGGGGCGTGTGCTGAAATAAGTTTTATTACTTCGATTTCGATTTCATGGATAATAAAATGGCATACAAATGATTTCATTTAATTTCATAAGCATGTCCCTCCTTATTACATATGTTAGCAAACTTAGCCTAGTGTTATGGAAAGAGACTGAGTTCAGAAAATTCAGTTTTCTCTCTTAATAGCTGATGATACTTGGAAAACCACTTAATTTCTGAGTCTTAACTTTCTCATCTATGAAAACTGGGATACTAATGATGACAGTGAGGTTGCCATAAAGATGGATTGAAATAATTCATGTAGAATGGTCTGTATAAATTGCCACACACTTATTATTATCATTTTAAAAATGAATCTTGTTTTAAAAATAAAATAAAAAGATACTAACCTTATTTTCTGGCAAAGGTTTGTTTTAGGATTTAGACAAAATTTGCATTCTCCACATTGAGGGATGTAAAGCGGGATGACAGTATCACCTGGAAAATAAATACAAAGACATTATCCTGGATGCGCAGCATCTATTTCTAATGAATCTATCAGCCCCTGCAAATTCCTATTCCTGTCAGCTCATTCGGCTTTGAAAGTTAACCTCTTCAAGGCTTAGAACTTCACCTACATAACATCATTCAGACAATGCCTGACTATGCAAAAAAATGTAAGTTTCAGAATTTTGACTAAAGGAAACTTTTAAAAACAATAACTGGAGTACAAGGAGTCATGTGCCTCAAACTACTGACTCACTGATGCGTATCTAAAAATTCTTGCTTAGAAACTGACTTCGGAAATGTTTTTAACAGTTTCAGATGAACAACAGTCTGCAAAATCAGGGAAAAACCCCCATCAAATATGGGGGGGAGGGGCAAAAGTAGTTTTACAGTTGTGACTATGGGAAACACAGTTTATTCTTGTATTATTTATTAGTTATTGTTTTCCATGCAAACAACTGCAGTCTACTTTTGCCGACCCTGTATTTATGCTTCCTGGGTGAGGAATAAAATCAATCTTCATAACTTTCTTAGGTGATAATTTGTTCATAAATAAACAATGTGTAGCTGATCAGAAGTGTTATTTCCCTATGGTGGTATAAAACAAGTGGTTCAAATACCCTCTTACCTGCTTTTAGCTTAGTAACTCCTGCGCCAACACTTTCCACAATTCCAGCACCTTCGTGTCCCAAGATCACTGGAAAACTCCCTTCAGGATCAGCCCCACTCAGGGTATAGGCATCCGTGTGGCACACTGCAGTGGCAATAATCTATCAAGATATTCAAATATAGAGCATTTCAGTGTGTGTGTGCATGCGACTCAGTGAGGCATTGGTCAAAGGAAAGGCCCTTTTATTTTAATATATTCCATTGATTCCAAGATACTTTTCTTTCATACTTTAACCTCTCTAAAATCAGTATATGCTTACAAATAGATGACATCTTAACAACTAGAATTGGCAGCCTTTTCTTAGTAGTACATTAAAGGGCAGAGTATTTATATTCAATGAAAGATGGCACATCTATTCTCCTTTTCAGTGCATATTAGCAAGACAAAGCAAACAAGGTGAAGAGGAAGAGCACCTGTGTGCAAAGCCATTTCACTGCTGGGCTCTTCATGACTGTTGGGAAGTGGTATTTCTAAAAAGCTATGGATTATTTCTGAAATATGCCAGTCTGCTTGGTCTGCACTAAAACTCAGAGCTTTTAGTGGAACCAACTCCCTTTTAGCACACACACAAATTCTGCTTAAATAAGCCCTTTATCCCTATCTCTTTTAAGTATGTTATCCTTCCAAACCACCAAAAAAGCACAAAGAAAAAGTCTCAGAGTGTATTTATACTTCTCTGCTTCTCACTGACATACCCACTTACAATGTAACATTCTTCGCTATTTGTTGGCAATCCCAGGAAAGACAGCTGAACTCAGTATGCCCCAAACAATACAGCCAGGACATTTTCTTTTTCAGTGGCAAAATCACAACCAGGTTAGTTTCTGAACTTAACTATTAAAATATTTCAGATTTCTGGGTCTGGATTGAAAAGGACCTTGAAAAGTTATCTGTGCTTCTTGACTGATATGTGTAGTCCCTGGAAGCATGAGTCAGTACGTGTTTATGTGCTGTGTGTTTGGAGGTAGGACCAAACTTAACTATTAAAATATTTCAGATTTCTGGGTCTGGGTTGAAAAGGACCTTGAAAAGTTATTTGTGCTTCTTGACCTGATATGTGTGGTCCCTGGGAGCATGAGTCAGTACGTATTTATGTGCTGTGTGTTTGGAGGTAGGACCGGGGACGTTTACTCCAATTTATAGCAAAAAAAGCTGATTTTTCTAGGATGTTAGTTTTATTTAAAAGTCACTAGTTTATTTTTAAAAACATTTTTATTGATTTTTTAGAGAGGAAGGGAGAGGAAGAGAGAAACATCAATGTGAGAGCCTAATATCGGCCACACCCCCTACTGGGGATCAAGTTGGAAACCTGGGCATGTGCCCTGACTGGGAATTGAACCGGTGACCTCCTGGTGCATGGGATGATGCCCAACCAACTGAGCCACACGGGCCAGGGCAAAGGTCACTACTTTAAACCATTAATTTTACATCAAAACAGAGAAGAATGCTAAAAACACCCAGCTGGTGGCCTTGTGAACTATGCCTCTCTCCTGGGATAGCTTCCTTAAGCAGCACTGGGATAATGAATGCATCCCTGGAACTCGGGCCCTGTCTGCAAGGGTCAGTATTTAAAGCTCTCTAAGATGACTTTACTGGGTTGTTGCTCCAGTTGATCAGGAGCCTCTTCCCAAATCTTATTTGAAGTCTCACCTAACAAAACTAAAGACCATTTCTTTTTCTTTTGTTCCTAATGTGTCACCATACATTTTAAGTTATGGGATCAGGAGAAAGGGGACACATCTGTCAAAGTCACCTTAAACCTAGGCTACGGAAATAAACCGCAGTGATCCCTGGGGAAGGCTGCTCAGCCCAACATCAAAGCTAAAAGATGGGAGGAGTGCTGCAGAGGAGAGAGGGATAAAATAAGAGGATGTTGTGACTCTGTGGCTGGAGGATTTTTAATACCTTGTTCTCGACACTCTCCTTTGGGACTTATCCTCTGCAGAACTCAAGAGTATTAGTCTACCCAGAGACCTAATTGTTAAGTCTTCTTTTTCCATTGCCTTAGATGTAACATTACCTTAATTCGAACTTCATGAGCCTTTGGGGGTGCCACCTCTACCTCCTCGATGGAGAGAGGCTTTCCGGCCTCCCAGGCAACCGCTGCCTTGCACTTGATCACCTGAAACGGGGGGAAAAAAGAGCAAGTTGTTTATTCACCTGAATGAATAATGAACTGCTTGTTAGTTAATTTAGATACTGATGAATGCTAATCTTAGGAAGCATATTAAAGATTCACAAAGAAACATGTACTGCCCTAGCCGATTTGGCTCAGTGGATAGAGCCTTTGGACTGAAGGGTCCTGGGTTCGATTCCTGATCAAGGCACATGCCTGGGTTGCGGGCTTGAGCCCTGGTAGGGGGTGTGCAGGAGGCAGCTGATCAATGACTGTCTCTCAACATTCATGTTTCTATCTCTCTCTCCCTCTCCCTTCCTCTCTGGAATCAATAAAAATATATTAATAAAAGAAAAAAAAAAAGGAAACATGTACCTCTAAGTGATATGGAGAATTGTTTTGCCTGTTTTTTAGATTTCGTATAAGTAATATTCATTAAAGTCTTTAACTTAGATGACCTTTGGTCAGATATAAAAGCCTCTTCTGGTTGAAAAGTTTTATTCATGGAATACTTAATGACATTCTACAGGAGCAGGTAAAGAATACAGGTCTAAGAGAATCTGATTCAGTAGGTCTGGCATAGGGCCCAAGGAATCTGAATGCTTAACACGTACCCTGTGAAATTCTTTTGTTCAGGTTGGTGTAAGTAACATTGGTGTAGTACAAAACCACAGGATGGGAAGGAATGTAAGGAGAACCAGAATGGGGGAACTTTAAAAACCATACCTATCACCCTGGTGTGGCTCAGCTGGTTGGAGCAATCAGGGCACATACCCAGGTTGCTCCACCACCGAGCAACACCAGCCGGCCAGCTCTCTCCCTCTCCCTTACTCTCTGGAATCAATAAAAATAATAAAAGGAAAAAAAAAAGGAAACATGTACCTCTAAGTGATATGGAGAATTGTTTTGCCTGTTTTTTAGATTTCGTATAAGTAATATTCATTAAAGTCTTTAACTTAGATGACCTTTGGTCAGATATAAAAGCCTCTTCCGGTTGAAAAGTTTTATTCATGGAATACTTAATGACATTCTACAGGAGCAGGTAAAGAATACAGGTCTAAGAGAATCTGATTCAGTAGGTCTGGCATAGGGCCCAAGGAATCTGAATGCTTAACACGTACCCTGTGAAATTCTTTTGTTCAGGTTGGTGTAAGTAACATCGGTGTAGTACAAAACCACAGGATGGGAAGGAATGTAAGGAGAACCAGAATGGGGGAACTTTAAAAACCATACCTATCACCCTGGTGTGGCTCAGCTGGTTGGAGCACTGTCCCGTACACCAAAAGGTGGCAGGTTCGATTCTCCATCAGGGCACATACCCAGGTTGTTCCACCACCGAGCAACACCAGCCGGCCAGGTGTTGCTATTCCTATCCTTTTTAACTGTGCCATCCAATACAGTATTCACTTGCCACCACCTGTGGCTACTGAGCACTTGAAAAATGGCCAGTCTGAACTGAGTTAAGCTGTACGATTTTGAAGACTTAGTACAAAAAAAGGTAAGAATACTTCAATAATATTTTAAAATATTGATTACATGTTGAGATAGTATTTTCAATATGTTGGATTAAATTTTAACACAATTTTAATGCTTTTTAATATGACTAATAGGAAAGTTAAAATTACATATGTGAACTGTATAATATTTCTATAGCATAATGTTGCCTTAGAGATTCTAGTACACCCCTCCATTCCCGGAGAATCAACTGTAACAGCGAAGATTTCCATCAGTTTACATAATGGTTATGAAACAAGTTGGTAGAATAAAGGTTGAAAGCCACTGGGTTTATAGGAGACAGACTGGAAAGTCAATAATTACAAAAAGTGTGGTTTAAAGGGAGAGGCACAAAGTGCTACAGAATTCGAAAAGTGGAGAAAGAGTGTAACTTTGGTAGTGAGTTTGAGAAAGCATCGCGTTTAACTGGGATACTGAAGGAGAAGAGTTACAAACGGTGATAAAACACCTACATACAGGGTAACTGTGAAGGGTGAATGAGAATGAATATGAAGCCCCTAATACTCATTCTCTTTGGCACAGGGTAGCTTTGCAAAAATAAGTTAGTAGTTATTAGTAGCAGTGAAACAAAGAGTGGAGGGGAAAGGAGAGTTAAACTATATAGAGAGACTAGAGGCCCGATGCATGAAATTCGTGCAAGGGGCTTGGCCCTCCCAGCAGCCCCGCCCACTGGTCGGTCAGGAAAGTCCTCCGGGAAGGTCGTCCTGCCCTCTGGTCTAATTAACATATTAGCTCTTTATTATAGAGGATTATACAGGATGAGTGGCTCGTGTAAGTTGGCGAGGGGAGAAATTCTGCTTCTAAAGTTGAAACGTAGATATTAAATCTGATGGTACCAAAAATTCAGACTCTGCACTGGAATCCTTTTCACCTCAATGTACCGTAAACCTCAAAGGTCCAATGCAGAATATTAACAATGAAGTCATATCGCACACTAGAGATCTGGAGCAACAGGAATAGTCCATCCATATGTGATTTATTCTCCAGCCCCCACTTTTAAAGAATGTTTCCTTTCGATGACAATTCTAATCACAACAAAGCCCCACTCTAAATCACAGGCGACTGCCCCACTTCCACATCTGAACTGTCACAGGAATTACAATTCTGCACCCGCAAGTATGACCCTGGGCAAGTCACAGTAAGACCTGGATCGGTTCTGCGACTTCGCGCAAAACGACGGGCAAGGCATCTCATCTTACCAGATGCCAGTTAATACCAGCGGGGGTGCCGCTCCTACGGCCTCTCATCACCTTTATGAACGAAATCACCTTGAACAGAAGGGCCTGCCGTGCTCTCTGCACAGGCCAAGCGCGGCCTCGGGCCATTTCGCCGGAACACGCACCGACCACCCTGGCCCCCCGCCCCCGGTCTCCGGCTCCGCTCCAGCTGCCCAGAGCGCAGAGCCCTCCCCAGGAAGGAGGCGGAACACAGCTTCCTTCCAGCGAACCGCTCCTCCGAGGCCCCGTTCGGCTCCGGTTCCCAGCAGCCCGGGTCCAGGCTGTGCTTCCCCGCCCCGCATCCTC